TGTGTGTGCAAAAGAGTAGGAGAGTGTGAAGCAACTAGGGAGAAAATGTAAGAGGAACATGATTAGAAGAGAGAAAGCTTCAGAAAGGGAAAAGGAAGACGGAGAAAGAAATAATGAGATAGAGACAGAAAGAGTAAAAACAACGAAGAATAAGAGACAGAGAGTGAGAGAAAGAGGGCAGAAGTAGGATGAATGGAAGAGAGAGGGAATTGGAGAGGAGGATATGTCTTAAAACGACATTTGAAGTACATACTTCACTCTACAAATGACTTTACGAGAAACTTTTCTGATACATTAATGACATCGTAAAAATGTGTGATCATATGAATTCATAGAATAATAGTATCTTTCCGAAATAAAATGCGTTTAAACAAATGGGAACACATGTTAAATCACAACCTACAACGTTCAACATTTCTTATCACTAACAAAAATAGAAATGGTGTTGTCGAAGGTGAAACGAATGATTCACGCATTAACATTCTCACATCATACGGACGCCAGCACTTCCCCCGAAGACTCGTGCGTGAGTAGATCGCAATTGCACGTGGGGCCTCTTCTCAGGGAGATGGAAGGCGTTCAAAGCGGTGACGACAGAAAGGTGGGCATGAAGAAACGAGATCGCGTCAGATTTACCGGGGAAGCGAGGGGATCAAAATATAATGAAGGTCTGATGCCAAGAACAAAACCCCAAGTTGTTTCATGAACAGTCCTCAATTATCAAATAACAATATAATGATGAGTATTAGTGCATAAGTGTGATGTATGCAAAAAAACAGACAATTATTTTTAAACTAGGTAGGATATGTTACAAAGCCAATGCCAAGACAAGCTAAATCCTATGTTAAATCCTATCCTATGAAGAAAATCGATATGAAACTATGATTTTTTTGGCGTAAAGATGATGACCATCAAAATTGTAGTTCTTGTGATATTAGTATAATAGGGAGCTTGTGCACCATCGAACACTAAAGCACCATCGATCTTGCGCGCATGCGCAGTTCAAGTTTCTCATTACTTTAGCGCTCTAGAAAATTGATAGTGTTGACCGCTATGTCATTTTTTACTGCATTATATTAACTCCCCTAGACCAAACATTTGTTTGTACTTCAAAAGAAGTTCCGTGAAGATTAATATGTTTCACAACCGAACCATTTTATAATCAACTGTTGTGCAGGCTATCTCTAATTCTTTTCTATGAAACGAATATCGAGTTGCGTCTCCGAGTTAATTTTTTATGATTTCCTTGTTCCGTTAAAAAGATTCAGGGGTTGTTATTATGAATGTATAGATTCACTGGTGAAATAAAGAAGAATATTAAAGGGTCCGCCCATGTACTGAATCAAATGAGACGTTAAAAAGTTATCGTTTCATTATAACTCGTACTAAAGTTTATTAATAAAGTATACATAATAATTTTGTAATTATATACCCGAAGGCTAGAACACTTTGTCTATTTTTTATGTAATTGGATATTTTAACTCAGTGATTCAAATTTAATTATCTTTCTGAAAGTGCGTCTTTCTTCCTCAGACGCCACGTACAATTTTGATTTTCTGACGACCAATAATTTTTTTAAACTAGCTAGAAGCCGTTTATGCAACATCCAGTCCACTGACCAACAGTCGACAGGGCCGGGTATCCAAAGGGACGGGCGAGCGCGAGGGTCATAGAGCAAGCAGACGGCGTGGCGAGGGAGTGGGGAGCGGGCTGACGGACGGCTGAGCGGAGCGCGCCCGGGCGAGCGGCGGAGTCAGCCACTCGATGCCCGGCGTTGGCACGGCGTCCGCGCTGAGCGATGATTCAGCCGTCGGCCCGTCAATCGCCACGACGGCGCGCGCCCTTCGCCGGCAGCGTCGCTCGCGCCCGACGCACGCCCTCTTCCCCTTACACCCACGCAGTCGCCTCATCCACAACAGTTATCAATATTAAGAGTATATTATTATTATTCGCGTAATAAATATTCTATTAAGTAATGATTGTAATAATAATAATAATAATAATAATAATAATAATCGCGTTTGGGCCACAACTGACTACGCAACACATTTCTCTCGCCGAGATCTAGTTGTATTCTATCATGGAGACATCAACGTGTGAAATTACAGAAATCGGCGTTTCGGATATATCCTGTGGTTATGACTAGGTTGTTAGCCGCGAATATCAATTAGAGGGAATAGGATTATTATTATTATTATTATTATTATTATTATTATTATTATTATTATTATTAATCGCGTATGGGTCACTACTGACAACGCAACACGTTTCTTTCGCCGTGGCCTAGTTGTATTCTATCCTGGAGATATCAACGTGTGAAATTACAGGAACCGGCATTTCGGCTATATCCCTTGGTTGTTTTCTGTCAATTGGCATTTTCATATTAGTCAGACTGTATTTAGTGCCTTAATTTAATGACTGAATATTATATAACTGCTCTATATGTATCATGAGGACAGAAACATTTCAGAAATTGATTGTTTCCATCATCCGGCATAATATCAAAAAGAAATAATTGATATAGTATTTTAAATAACAGTTAATTGTTTAAAGAAATTATATTTTTTTAATAATTTTTTTGTCATTATGCCTGGAGATGGAAGAAATTAATTTACGAAACGGTGTTGGTATTATAAATCACATGAAACATTGATATAAAGCAGTTATATAATTTTCTATCTTTAAATTAGGAGCCAAATACAGTTTGACTAGTACATATAAGTATTTCTTGTGGTAGCGTTTTCACAATAGTTATAAAAAGTTCACAAAACAGACAAATGCTCATTTTAAAAAACTACAGTACATATTTATTTACCACAATTTTACTGAATAAATGTCCTAACTCTATCCTACTAGATCTGAGGTAATAATATAAAATAATTAATTTTGTTGTTTTTGAGAAAGATGCTTTACAAACTAACATATTGAAACAAATTTGACATTCATGAATTTTTAACGATCTCATTCATAATAATCGTTTTTCAGTATGGTTTAGCACTTCCCCTTATTACTAACAATACTTTCGTAAGAAACACCCCGTCTGATTCATTTGTTAGCTTTCGATGTGTGATTCATGTCATTTTGTTCATCCTCAGTTTTCATGGATTCTGTATTATTTCTTTCATCTGTAATATTTTTTACAACATGCGTATGTTATGAGTTACAATATGCGTATGTTATGAGTTGTAGAATGTGGTGGGGCCGCGGCGGGCTGGTCGGTGCAGGTCGGTGCGGGGCCGAGGGAGGCTGAGCGAAGCCGGACGGGATGGCACGGAGAGGGTAGGACGGGAGCGGTTGGTGAAAGCGGTGGGAAGAGAAACAGGAAAAGAGGTGGCAAAAATATGAAAATGAAATGTCTTACATTTTACACATTTAAAGACAAATTCGTCATTTCTCCAACCTTACAGGCTATAGCAATGAAAAATACACTGCCAACGTCGGGTTACTTCATGAACAGATTTGTGAACGTCGACGCCGTGCCGGGTTGGTGAACGTTGTACGTCGCTTCATTATACCACTAGTGAAATAAGCTGAAACACTGACAAATCTAGTTTTATTGAGCATTGATTCGAAGAAGACGCAGACCCGTTCCGTTGTCCCCCGACTCGCCCCTTCTCCCGCCCACCGTCCATCCGTCGTCCGTCGCCCCTCGTCGCCGCGGCGAGCGCGGGGGCGCCACGGTCGTCCGTCAGGGCGTCGGCCGCCCGGGGAGAAGGATGGCGCCGGGAAGCGATCCCAGGGCCCCGAGGTAGCCGCGCACCCACCGGGACGCGCTCGACCACGGGAAGGGGGGGTGCGCACTCTCGCGCGACACGTGCGGGGGTAGGGGGTGGGTGACGAGCGCTTCCTAACGACGTGCTATGCGCCACTAGGTGCCAAGGAGTCGTGCATTCGAATCGTTCATCTCTTGAAACTTTTTACATTTAGTAACTCATGTCTTCGAAACCACCAATTCTTATATCATATGAATCTTGAATTCTTAAACCAAAAAAATTCTTATATTTTTAATATGTGAATCTTCATTTCCAGAAATCATCAAGCCTCGAATTTTGAATTCCCATTTTTTTCTGAATTCGTACTTACAGAAAGCTCGTATTCATAAAATCTAGAATGCTCGAACAATTGAAATAAAAATAATAAAATAATATAGACTAGAAAAAATCATATCTCCAATTCTCTAAAACTTCTTCTTGAAATTTATGCATACCAAAAATAGTAAATTCTTAAAGTCTGGTATTTTTGAATCTGTGTTTTCAAACCTTGAATCCTGAACCATTCAACCCTGTATTCGTTAATATTCTAATCATTCAATTTTTTATATCTCGCTCCTCAATGTCAGTTTGAAAAAAAATATTAGTCGTTGTATAGGTCTCAAGCAAATTCTAACAGATTTTAGAGAGTTGAAAATAACAAATATGAAGAATATCCTGGGAACGAAATTTGTCCAAATGCTTAAGATCATGGCTAAAACGCATTATTATGGTGTGCATTTTTTTCTGCGCCCTGCCTAGAGCGCGATCACAGTAAAACGTGTTTCCGGTTAAAAGAATCTCGATTTCTTCGTCACGTAATTCTGGAATCTTTTTTTCAGGCACTGAATATATTCACAATAAGAAACAATTTTTAACATTCTCCTGTATTCAACATCTTGTTTTTCTCCTTCTATTTTTGCAACGTATTGAAGAAAAGGTATTGGGGAAAACATGAGAAATATTCTTGGGATGCAAACATGTAAGAGATGTTCTGTATACAAAACATGTGTTTCCAGGAATTCGTTCAAAGAAATGTTGCCAAGAATACATCCTTTGATGATTCCAAACCACACGTTTGAAAATTCTTCAAAACAAGTATCTGCTGAACAACCCTATTACATCAGCAATGTACGTGCACTTTCCAATGATTATTACATGTATTTTCAACAAATATATCTTAGATTTCCAAATGGCGTCTGGTGCATGTTTTTTCTCAGAATTCTAATAATCATACTGCTCAAACGTTTTTTCACTATTCAAACAATAATTAAAATAGCATCTGTTTAAAAAAAGGCACATGTTCGTTGTCGTTAGACAAGCATTAATTGTCTAGAGGTACAATGTTGTTAGTTTCACAAGTATTGCATGTACGCACTAGGCACGACAGCCCGTGAACGGGCTGAGGCCTACCGACGACGTCCCTGCCTCGCGACCATAGGTTAAGGGGGTACGTGTGGTTAGCACGTAGACATCCGCACGCCGTATTACGGTCTTCTCAACTTGAGAAGTGAATTTTTTTATCATCTCACAGCAACACATACAGACATTGCAAGGAAAACGCACACTTTAATCTTGACTCGACCGGGAATCGAATCGCGTACTGGAAAGCGAGCACACTGACCAAGAGCTAGCTGCGAGCCCTTCACAAGTATTGCTATTTTTATACGTAGAAAGTTCTAAACCCTTAACCTTAAGTAACGCTTAAAACCTCACAACCCTTAGCGAACATACTAATGCCTTTGATGCGCGAAATGATATAATGCAATTGGCGTTGACAGCAATTCCAACGCGAGTAAAAGAGAAGAGCTGGGCCGCGCATTTGGAAGAGCGCCGAGGGGCTACCACTGATAATTCTTTGGCCGCAGGACTTGCGACTAACTCAGCCACTCAGAGACGTTCCTCTCGGCGAGTGAACTCTTAACTTTTCCATTACGTCACAAAACAGCGCCAAGCCGCCTTGCACTTGTCTTCTCACGCCTACGCCCACGCCATTGTTGCCGCCGTTTCCATCCCCACTCCTTTCCCCATTGCCTCTCCACTATCACAGTCGTCGCCGTAATTCTCATCTTTGCCCTTAAAAAGGTGCGTCGTAAGAAGAGAACGTTATGTAATCGTGCGCCGAAAATAACGAATTTTCGTCTGAAAAACTGTAACTACCGGGTCTTGATTACAAAAAAATGTTGATAATACCAGTTGCTAAATATAGAAAAAATTCCTTTACAACGAGATGTATCCAGAATCCATGTTCTGTGGGTACTTGTTACCGAAAAATCAATTGACGGCCAAACGTCTTTCTGACCGTCCGGAGTCAACCCTAGTGCCTAAACCGTTCAGTCGATTTCCTCCTAAATTGATATTACGCGATTTATCGGAATGAAACCGAACTTTTGGGAGTCTAAAACCGATACTTTGACTTTTGAGTGAACTTTACATGAAGCAAACATTTACGTTGCCCAGTGTTGGACCCATAAAGCGTTTCTGTGGCATGTGGTATGTGTCACAGACAAGTTAATACTGAAGATCTGATTTTGGGTACCGAAGGCCAAAAACATTTTGCTGATTGAAAACTCCTTCGAAGGTTCATGTAGTAGTATAATATTTCGGAGCTAGAATTAATGCGAGAAAGTATGTGCTTTTGTAAAACCATTTCTTTTTATTTAATGGGTACTCTGTACCTGCCATGCCTAAAAAGACAATTCAAGACAAGCTGAAAAGACAATTCTAAAAGTTGTCTGTCGTTGCTTGGAAGCCAAATTCACAAATAATAGCTGAAGCATTGTCCTGAACCCACCAAAGTGACACAGGTCAGAATAAACAATTCTCAAATGGAGATTTATTTGTGTAGAGTTAGAGGGAATTACGTGTTACGCCATGCTCGTGCTGTTTGTTTGTAAAGCACGAGAATCCAAACTGTTGAGAAACTACTGAACTAACTTAAAATATTTCAGTCACATAATGGCGTGTCCAACAATGAGGTGCACTTATTTCCTACAAAAACTGAGGTACGGGATGTTGCTCATGCTTGAATACCCGAGAGGACTGCTAGTCTAGTGATTCATGGTAACATTGGGCACAAAGATCGGCGGGTAACAGTTTTTAGGCTGGTTTATGCTACTGGTTTAGACTGCTTATTGCCGGTTAAGAAACTAAACTCATTT